CAGTCTTTCGCTGCTCCGCATGTGGCCTGCATGCTCCACTCACACGTACCTATAACGTTATAACGTACACACACACAGTCGTTCGACATGCTCCATTCACACGTACCTATATCGTTATAACGTACACATACACAGTCTTTCGCTGCTCCGCATGTGACCTGCATGCTCCACTCACACGTACCTATAACGTTATAACGTACACACACACAGTCTTTCGCTTCTCCGCATGTGACCTGCATGCTTCACTCACACGTGCCTATAACGTTATAACGTACACACACACAGTCGTTTGGTGCTCCGCATGTGGCCTGCATGCTCAACTCACACGTACCTATAACGTTTTAACGTATACACGTACAGTCTTTCGCAGCTCCGCATGTGGCCGAGGCCATGAACATTCCGTTGTGTATGGCGTTCACAATGCCGTGGACGCCCACGCGCAATGTGCCGTCGCCATTCATTGTCGTAAACTCCGATGGCCCGTCGTTTATTAACTACTCCACATACACGGCAGTGGATAGGTGTGTGTGCGGATGGACTGGACGTGTGTTTGTAGGGGTCGTGGTGTGTACCTATGTGTTTGCGTGCGTGCATATATACATTCTTTACGTTATTTACATTATTCTGGTGAATCTCGGCTGTCCTTCAATCAATGTTGCACCAGAGCCCTATGATTAGGCACTCAAAAAGATAGTGCACACCGCACACAATGTTTTGGCCTCAGCAATGACCAATCCTAATTTTGGTAGCAACTCTCAAACTATTCCCGAATTATCTCGCAATTCTCTAGAACTTTTTTGGTTTGCTTGCGAATATTGTTCCAGAGCCCTGTGGCTGGGAACGCGAGATATGATCAATACGTTCCGTACGCAATACCTTGGTATAAACAAGCTGCCGTATGGGACGGGATATAAGATACTGCAGGCCAGGCGCACGCCCTTCTGCTACTGCTTCAGCACTCACTTGTTGCCTCGACCAAACGACTGGGGCCCTTGGATCGATGGTGTGTGTGCATAGGGTATATATATATGTGTGTGCATGGGGTATATATATATATATGTGTGTGTGCATAAATGTAAGTATATATATGTGTGTGCATGTGTGGGTATATATATATATGTGTATGATATATGTGTGTACATGCATGTGGGTATATATGTATGTGTGTGCATGTGTGGGTATATATATGTGTGTGTGCATATATGTGTGTACATGCAAGTGTGTGTGTGTGTGTAAGTATATAATTGTGTGTTTGTGCGTGTTTGTGCTTGTAATGGTATGTTTACAAATGTTTATATATATATATAAATATACATATATCGCACACCTTTCTGTTACTGCTTCAGTGTTCACTTTTGTTTAGAAATATATATTTATGTATGCATATATGAACTTTCCACTCACCGATACGCTGGGGCTCATGCACTTCTAAGTTTCTAAGTACATTCAAGCTTCTCTTCTAACTATACAGATAGGACTGATTTCTAAACATTTAGCTCTAGGCATAATATATACTATATACGACGCAAAAACAAGACCCTGAACCTTATCACGGATACAATACGTATACGTTTAATATTTGCCTTCGAATTAGTCAAGCTGCGTTTTATCCCTAAAACTCAAAATGGGTTTCCGCGGTCATGCAGTGGTTGGGTTCTGGTTCTACGACTCCAAAACCAAATCCGATTACGAACCCGAGCCAAAACTCAAGAAATTCCTGGCCGAGAATAAGAAACCCGTTTTTATTGGGTAGGTTCATTTTTTTGTCGTTTCTACACAGCCAATATATCGTCACCAAACATTGTGTGAAACTCTGCGTTATGTATTCGATTATTGTGTTAAATTTTCAATCTGAATGCTACTGATTCCTGGCCGAGAATGAGAAACCCGTTTTTATTGGGTAGGTACTTCTCTGCATATCAATTTCTGTCGTTTCTGCACTACCAATATATCGTCACCAAATATTGTGCGAAACTCTGTGTTTTGTATTCGATTATTGCGTTACATTCTCATCTGAATGCCACTGGAGTCTCATGTAGATTGGTGTTTTTGGCAGTTCAATATTCAGTACTCCTGATTTTCTGTCAAATCTGGCACAGTCATTGGACTGTTCCCCAAAAACATGTCAGTCCTCATTGTTGACCCGATTGTTGCCTCATATCTCCATCTAAGTTCTCCCCGCAATTCTACTCAGGATTGGATCCTTTGTGGTAAAAAGCATTTCAAATTGTATCTTCTGTACACAAATTCAATCACATAGTCAGTATACCGTTTCCAAAAATAGCCTGTCAGTCTTGAAATTTTGACCTTGAAAATCGGATGTCGACCTAAATTCTCATTTGAATTCCTCTACAATTCTGCTCAGATTTGGATCAATTGTAGTAAACGATCCCGATCGTCTTACACGCACGATACTGGAAGCAGCACGGTTGCTGGGGAAACCAGTGATTATACAGCAAGGGTGGGCGGATATCAGCGGAGAGTATGCACCTGAATGTATTATTTTGAACTTAATCTGTTCGTATGAACTTAATTGTAATAGTGTGAACTAATGATATTGGTAATAGGAATGAGAGTTTATATGTGACGTATGGTTTGATGCATGAAGTGTGAGCTACACTATATCGGTGCTACGTGATTTGTTGTTGGGTATCTTGGATGGGCTTATGCCTGGTCATGTTATGTGTAGATATAATCGTACACATTCGTGATATTCTGCACATGGAGTATTTTCTCATGAATTTATACATGGTCAGAATAACAATATATGTATAATACTATATCTATTA